TAAAATTTCCATAATCATCTTTAATGTAAGAGTATATAAAATCCCTCAGTCCGAGATAAAATGGAACCCTTGCTTTACCAAAGTATGAGGTAAATAAACAAACATATCATTACTGGAAAAAAAAAATGTATATATGTGCAGAAAGTGTACAAACAACTGGATACTTTATTTATGTCTCCATCAGACGGAAGAAAATATTTAATCATTTCTTTTTAAAGTTCATTCTAAAAGCAGAACTTACCATTTCTTCCTTTCTCTCATCTCATAAAATAGAGAAAAAATAAAAACAAAAAGCATGCCAAAATATAAAAGTACAAACTATATCTGTATCATATAACTGAAACATGTAAGATATATTCTACATAATCCATATAATGTTACAAGTTTGTCTCTCTCTCACGTGGACATGCTCACACACACACACACACACACACACACACACACACACACACACACACACACACACACACACACACGCACACGCACACGCACACGCACACGCACACGCACACGCACACGCACACGCACACGCACACGCACACCCACACGCACACGCACACGCACACGCACACGCACACGCACATGCACACACACACACAATGTTGCTTTACCTGTTTATTCATCTCTCGCTGCCACACTAGATATACCAGTGTTGTGTTGTCTTTCCCCTTCCATTGCATACTCTGACAGTAGACTACCTGTGGGGAGCCAAGAAGCAACTCCAACTCCAGGTGTAGTTGTGAAAATGGTAAAGAGGGGGTTAGTTGATGGTTAAATGTACTAAACGTCAAATATCGTATAGCAGTTCAGAAAAGGAGCAAAGAGGGGTTGAGGGTAAATAGCTAAGGTAGGAATTAACAAGGGTGATTAGATCAAAGCTGCCAAAGAAGGGTGGGATTCTGCAAGGATGTCTACTGGGTAAGGTAGTGATTAGCAAAAGGAGGAAGGGGGTTTAAGGGCGATTAGATCACAGTTTTAGGAGAAATGTCAGGAAGGAGAGAATCCAGGGAAGGGGGTTGTTGTGATACCGTAACATGTGTATCCAGGAGGAAGCGGTAGGGATAATGGGAGAAGGGTGGATGAGGCAGATAAAGCAAGGGTGAACATGATGTGCTGGGAGGGAGTGGAAGGGAAGGGGTGTTGGGGGACCATGAATAGGAGGAGGATGCATGTCGACAGTTACTTTGAGTTCAGAAGGAATGGGAGCAGAGAGATTGGAAGATGGATAAGGTGTAGGCATGTTACCGTGGATCATAATTTGATAGTTTTGAATGTTTTTGAGAGTTTTTGATGTAGATTTGGTTGAGGAAGTCTAATAAACAAAGGTTTTCTTATGAGGAGGAGAAAAAGAGATAGGCATTTGAGGGGTAGAGCAAGAGGTAGGTGGAGGAGAGGGTGCTACAACAAAACAGGGTGGAACGTTTAAATGGTCTGCTATGGGTAGAGTGAGAGATAAGGGCAGGAGGCGGGGAGGTAGTGATGGGAGGTCTGGATTTAGAATTGCCAAAGAATTTGATTGTGAAAAGAAGGGGGTAGAAGTGGAACTGTGAGATGGAGGAGGAATAGATCCTGGGGAAGGAAATATAGAAACTTCTTTGGGAAGAAGGAGGAGGGGTTGAGCGCAGGGCAGCATTGGAGTTGGGAGTAAGAGAAAAACCTCATTGACATGCTTCCTGTCTGGCCTTGCGTAAAATTTGAATTTGAGAGTTGCCACCTCACACTTAACCTTGTAGGAAGATAAGCCCTGTAAAATACATTATAAAATACATGGGGGCCACCACAATTGGCACATGTACCTGACTGTGCAGAGCAGTTTGACTGATCATGACCAGGTTGGGTGCATAGAGGGTGTCGGGCTGTGGAGAAGCAGTGTTTGGCAGGGTGGCCTAGACGTCACAAATTATGACACTGATGGGATGGAGGTTGATATGGTCCCACAGGGAGGAAATCTGTCAATATAAACATGAAGGGGGAGGAAATGTGTATGGAAAGTAATCTGACCAATCTTTATCGTAGAAGGGACAGTTTGTCGGGGAGATAAAGACAGTTCCAAGTTTGGGCAGGAAGTTTGCCAGTGAAGTCAGTCTGGGTTGATAATGCTTTAGCTTGGAATTTAACTGTGACAAGGTGGGAACAATTGGGGCGAGCATAGAAGGAAACTTCGCCTTCTTGCTTTTGGATGCATTGTTGGAAGAGGAGAGGGTTATCAGAATTAAGGGGCTATAGAAAGGATCACAAAAACACTGAGTACTTAAAAGATTTATAGACTAGTATAAGGGAGTAGTAGAAGGATGGAGCCTTGTGGAAGAGGGAAGAGGGAGTGGTGTTGAGTGAAGTAGTACTGCAGAGAGATGGATAGTAAGGCTGCAAAGTAGTAATAAGGAAGGAGGGGGTAGTAGATGAAGTAAAGAATGTTGAGAGAGGAGGCATGTTTCCTAGAGGTTGAGTAATGACCTGGGTGGATGATTTGGACTGAAATGAGGTGATAGTAAATATTGAAGAGGGGGTAGTAGTAGTGTTCAGAGTTGTGGTCAAAGGAGAACCTGGGTTCAGGGAATCAGGTGGATTAAAATTGGTGGGGCTAGTTGCTAAAGGATGAAGTCTCATTGTCCCTAATTGGGGTACAAAATGTTCATTAAGCCTGGGGTATGTTGAGGAGAGAAATGGTCCACCCCACAGGGTCCCCTTGAGGGGTAAGAGCTAGACAACTAAAAAGGGGAATACCATGACAATGGCTCCCCTAGGCCACTCATGACTGGCACATAGTCTGCCTTTCATCCTTTCAACATGGCTTTCAGCCATTAGGAAGTGGATAGTAGAAGTTGGAGAAGAGAAGGAAAAGGAAAGGGGAAGAGGAGAAGATCATGCAAAATTAGTTGAGTCAAGGGCTGAAGCTCAAGGTTGGGGTGATCCCTGGCATTAGGCCTCAGTGTCTGTCACAGAAGCCCCTACATTGCAACAACGGGCAAGGGATCAAGGGGTCTTGCTCTTAGAAGGAGCAGCCTCCCTCTATCATTCAATAATAACTCTAATAAACAAATCAAGACATCTTGGTTGTCTGCCTAAACTTATCAGTGTTGGGAGTGGCAGTGTTGGAAGAGCTATAAGTTACATATTAGGATATGGAAATCGGTGATGTAGAAGGAATTATACCAATACATAGCTCTTGTGGAGGAGGAAAAACAACATAACACTGGTATGTCTAGTGTGGTAGGAAGAGATGAAAAAACATGTAAAGCAATAAACATGCACATAGGCATATATATGTGTGTGTGTGTGTGTGTGTGTGTGTGTGTGTGTGTGTGTGTGTGTGTGTGTGTGTGTGTGTGTGTGTGTGTGCATGAGTGTGTGTGTGTGTGCATGAGTGTGTGTGTGTGTGCATGAGTGTGTGTGTGTGTGCATGAGTGTGTGTGTGTGTGCATGAGTGTGTGTGTGTGTGCATGAGTGTGTGTGTGTGTGCATGAGTGTGTGTGTATGAGTGCGCGCGTGCGTGCGTGCATGTGTGTGTAGGCCATTTTTGTAGCATCCAGAAACCCCTAACACTTTGATACATCATTTCCAGTTGTATCATATCATTGGAGTTTGTACTGACATACAAAGTATTGAAAAAAAGGAAAAGTTATCTTCATTCATTTCACATTAAGAAAGTCAATAAAAAATACCAAAGTACATCATATGCTGGTAAGATTATTAATTACAAGCTTGTGGAAATTTCAAATAATATGGAAAAAGTACCTGACTGCTCTGCAAATTATATTGTTTGTATAAACCACTCTCCACTTTGCAAGGTTGTGGAAAGTTTAAATGTATTTCTCAGATTCTGTCAAGAATTTTTTTCCTTATTATATACATTGTTCTTCATATGATAAGTAGAAATTGCATAAAGTTTTGTATCTTATTGCATTCACCGCGGGCATTTACTTGACTTCTAGAGTGAATTATAACAAATCAAGATATACTATGTTTTCTTTGATATTTTTGAGCCTGTAAGGTTATATCATAGAGGTACAGAATGATTTTGGAGACATTCTTCCCACCGAAGTCAATACCATCATATGACTCGGACACACTGGAAATTCTTACCATGTCGTTCCAGCAACTGTCTTGAATGACTTCAAATCTTACCCATATAAAGTGAATATGTATTAGATGTACTATTAAAATGGAATAGAAACATTTTATTCACCCTTACAATAAAAAGTTTTATGAAGAAACTTACAATGCGATTTATAATCAATGAAAAAATAAATCACTATCTGAGACTGCCTGAAATGTATCTGAAAAAAATCACACTGATTGGCTGGCTGTAGTATATCAAACTGTATCAAGTTGAAGGCAAACACTTTGATACAAATGAAAAGATGTTTCAACAGGTTCCAATAATGTATGTGTTAAGGGCAAACATGTATCAGAGTGTATCAAAGTGTTAGGGATTTCGGAAATGTTACAAAAAAGCCCTTATGTGTGTATGTGTCTGTGTGAGAAGATTTATATAAGACAAACATGTAAGATTACATAAATTCTATAGAATAATAGAATAGATACATAGAATAACATTAGCACATGTATTTCGGCAATATGATATATAGTTTAGTTACAGAGTTTTGCTACTTTCATTACAAAACAGGCTAGACTGTCATTTTATGTGTAGTATTCATTTACTTTCACTATACAGAACAAGTGAGCTTTGACAAAAGTAACTAGTATTCCATTTCACTATATAAAATACCAAATTTTCATACTCCCCTTTATCATTTGGCATCTCCTCTTCCTTCATTACATATTTTGCAATATGTTATTTCAGAAACTGCTAAGTCATGTTAACCGTTAACCAATGAGCAACTGCTAGAAACTTTATAGATAATCCTCTGTCTAATACCAAATGTAGACTAAGCATTTCAGGCTATTATAAACTAGTATTTCATTTTCCGCGAATAGTTCACTCTTCGTCCTTTGCACCCAAAGAGTTATTGGAAGGGAGAAAGAAATGGACCAAAAAGTATTATTCAAAATGTTTGATCTTGGAAATGCATTTACATCCAGCTGTCAGTTCTATGGACTGATCCACTGCAATTGATAATTACAGTAAAGGAAGACAAAAAATATACAAACAATGAGGCTCAAATAATTCCCTGAAAAAAAAAAGAAAAACACACACACACACACACACCAAATTCCATACAAACACAAGAGTAAAATGTAAAGGAGAGAAGAGAGTAATTTAAAAGTACCCTTATATTTCCAACACACTCATACAAATGCTCAACTGGCAATATAAATAAGAAGGGAAAATGAATAACATTGACTTGGAATAAAAAAAAAAAAAAATTAAAATGACTAAAATAACTAAAACAGAATAATAACAACAATAAATCATTAATAATTACAAAAAGATACAGGATCCACTGGGAATCAACCTGAATACATTAATTAAAATCAGGCAGTTCCTATCAATTTATAATGGTAGACTTCATACAGCTTCTATTTTTACGAGAAGAGTCAGACTCTATGCTTTGCTGAATAATAAAAAAAAATCAAACATCTATATACGTATCACAGTCACATATGTATAGCAATGAATAATATGCAGCAATTACAGTTAGTATAATTTTGATATTAGTACAACTAATAATGGTAATGGTAATGGCAGTAGTGATAATGGTGAAGTTGGTGATAATAATGTTCTTCATGATGCAATGACTGTTATAAGTTATGATAATAATAATCACACAGATAATTGTTAGATTAATAACAGCTTTATAAATAATATTTGTAATTGCACTGGTTCTGGGGCTGATTATAATGAGGATAAAATATAAATAATAGTAATAGTAATACTGACATCAACAATAATAATAATAACATTAATAATAATAATAATAATAATAATAATAATAATAATAATAACAATAATAATAATAATAATAATAATTATAATAATAATAACAATAATAATAATAATTATAATTATAATAATAATAATAATTATTATTATTATAATAATCATGATAACTATAATAACAATAATAATAATAATATTAATAATAGTAGTAGTGGTAATAATAATTCTAATCACAACAACAACAATATTAATGATAATAATAATAATAATATATACATTAATGCTGGTATATTGCAATATGAAAATATGAACATATAATTCTTGAAAAACTACAGATCTGTCTTGTTCCCGTTTTGTCTTTCCATTACCTTGCAATGTACTGTTAACCTATTGGAGCATTAGAAAAATCATTCACTTGTGACAGCAGAGTAAGAGGAAAATTGTAGTGGAAATCTTGGGTATCTTTCCCTTTTGTTTTAAGGAATGTTGAAAATTCATATACATAATTCTTTTAACAGTGCAGTAACTGCCATATTTCATTGCAAAACCTTTGTAAATAATACTAATACTTGAATTAACTGCATATATCTACTATAGTGAAAGCTAAATAATCTCTAAAATGTGTAATAAAAATGAGCAGTATTTCACTATATTTCAAAGTGCGGTTAACTACATTATGTTCACAACCTGTGCCTTTATGGTAGTGTCACATTATACAAAAACTGTTCCTCAGTTCAAAAATACAACAATGGTAAATCTCTAAATCAGTTTTATCCTCATAATGAAGATAAATCATATATATATATATGTATTAAACCTGCAAAGTCATCCAGCTATCATATTTCAGCTCGCATCTGTATGACAAGAACTACTTGAATATGGTGATAAAAATGACTGCTCTGTCTGACAACCTTTCATGTGGGGATGTATGATTCCCTTGGTAGTTTTAAAGAGGCACCATTACTAATAAACAACAAAAACTGTAAGACAGTTTAATAAACAAAATCTAACAATCATATCCATAAATCTTTATAAAAAAGGAAGAAGAGAAGACTTGTGCATATTCCTTAAAAACACTAAAAATTTCTAACCATAATTCACTTGCATCTAAAAAGTAACCAAAACATCAGTGCTTGCACCAGAGAAGACCAAAGAAGGATAGGAGAAGTACCAACTTCCAACACACAAGGCTGTCCATCGACACAGTGGAATGTTCTTGCAAAGGGTCTTTCTTACCAGTGTTGCTAGAAGAGCAGCTCACTAATGAACATTAGTCTTAAAAGAGCAGCACTGCATTTTTCAATCCACATACACTCACTGGCACAGGAGGCTCTGTGTTGCCAAGGTGGCTTTCTACATCCTTTCACACCACAGAACATGTTTTAAAGGTACAGGAATGCCCAAAATACTCCAAATATTCAAATATCACCTGAAAGACGCCTCAGACATTAGATATGGTAAGCCCATGAAGATGAATAATGCAAGGAGTCAAATTGCCTAGTGATGATGGCCAAATGTGAGGAACAGAGGCAGCAAAGAGCCACAAATGAGGGCCAGCAACTGTTTGCGGGAGAAATGGTTGCCTCCACCTCCTCCCTCATGGCTGTGGCTGGTGAGCTCTGGCAGGACATGTACTGTGGCAACATAAAGGAAGGTCCCAGCACTGAAGAGCATAGCAATGCCTGTGCTGTGAGATGATGAGAAGGACTCGGTGCCACTCTGGAAATTTAACGAGACCTCATAATTTATTTTCATTGATGAACATTATTGTGATATCACTATTAAATCAAATAATTAAATCTATGTTTTTTTATGTTATTAAGCACTAAGTACTCTATGGAATACTAAAAAGATTTTAGTTAGTCACTGTCATCTGACATCGCCACAGATTTATCTTTTTTCCTGAATGGATTTTTATGGAGACAAAATTTTACTTACAGATTTAATCAGTCAGGACGAAAGAAAAAAAAGAAAATAAAAAAAGAACACCACTCCACAGCTGCCAAAGCTACCACAGAATCTGGTAGCAGACACGATATTTACCTGGACAATCGCAACATATGTGACCACTGCACCGATGGGGGCAGCAAGGGCGAACACAAGCAAGTGTCGCCGAATTTGATTTCTCTCTAGTCCGTCATGCAACAAAAAGGTCACAAGCCCAAATGCTGCAGGAGCCTGTTTATAGATACAGTCTGTTAATTATATTTTTGTTGCAAAAATAATAAAAGCCACAACATAAACTAGAAAAAAGAAGCACAGGATGAATGCTACTCAGATCTGTGCTTGTAGCTTGTAATGTAAATGAGAGCATTCTACAGAAATGACCTAAGGATTATGATCACTCAATAGACATCACAAAGGAACCTAAAAGCAAGAATTGTACCTTGTGGAGCATGATGGCGAAAAACACGATCATTTCAACATCCGTGTGTGATGATGAGACTGCAGCCCCAAGTGCTATGCCATCAGCTGCAATGTGAAAAGTGATATGTTAAGCGATCTCTCTCTTCTCATTTTATTTTATTCTAATCTACAAATGCTTGAATACAACTGAGCCCTTTCACTTGTTTTGTGCAGTAAATTACCCTGCAGCCCTCTGGCACTTTTTATACTTATCTACTGCAGAACATTGGTTAACTTTGTATACTTCACGCTATAAGTTCTTTTACATATGTATGATAACCCTGCTTTCTTTTAGTATTCTTCTTACACAAAGATGACTCCACAAGGGCTTTGCAACCAGAGGCTGCTACTACTCACCTGTTTATCCCATTCCTTGAATTTTTGTGACCTTTTTGACATGTTTAAGTGCTTATTAGCCCAATGACGCCGGGTGTCCAAAACAAAACAAAACTAAACATAAAAAAAAAACAAAAAAACAAAAAAAAACTACGCTCTAGCAAACAAAGGCGGCGCGCCGACTTTGAGCGCTTGAGTAGGGGACATCAGCCCAAATCACTGGCTCGCCGCCGCGGCGTACGGCTGCACGCCAGCTTTCGAGCGGTTTGTTTTCACGCCGATCGGCGTCACCCAGCACCAAGGGGTTAATGTTACTATTGTTGTTTATATAACCCATTCCCGACGGGTCATGGCATGAGGCGTCAAAACAAACCGCTCAATCTGTGGCGTGTGGCTGTATGCTGCAACGGCGCGTCAAAGTGCTATGGGTTAATAGTATTACCATAGTATTATCAAAACGATGATAATAACAATAAAAATGATAATAAAAATAAAACCCTCTTCTCCCTATATTCCAGGAATTAGGTAAACAGGAAAGGTCAAGTAGAAAATGCCTTCTTACTCACAGTGATTGTGGAGCCATCTATGTATAATACTACTACTAATAAGACAAAAGTATAGTGGAGAGTGCATTTATACATGCTTTCCTTGTATCAGTGAGCTAAATTCTCATGATCATATAACATACTGGCAGCAGGGTCTCCTTTTTCTGGCTATTACATTGGAGCACAAAAAAACTATGTCTGGTGAAAATTCCTATCACCAAGATTATCTCTCACAATTTCTATCCAACATTCCTACATCAATAAGTAAAAAAAAATTTGGATATCCTTTGAGCTGTAAAAGAAGTAACATGGGATTAGGCATCATAAACCTTGGAAAAAAGAATTATCATTGTACCTATGCTATTACCTCAATGTATACAGTATTTTTATAATAGTTTGACCCTGAGCCTGACTTCAAGATATGGTATATGAATTTGATAAGACTTATTACATTATTGTAAATTATCCCTACTATGATCATCTTTATCATTTTCTCTTGCCCACTTTCTCTCTCCCCCCTCTCTCTTGGGAAGGGGAGAAGGGGGGAAGTGTGGAATTTTAAGCATGATAGGTGTTTTAGATGTTATACTTTATTGGCATATATATTTCAGAGTGCAGCTTGCTAACCCAAGTTTCTTATTCTACATAATTGATGACTGTACTAAAAAGAAGAAAACAAAATCATACACTCTTATCAAAGCACCAACAAAACAAAGGCACAAATAAAAAGGCTATGTGAGTGGTTTGTCCCCAAGACATTGCCAATGACAGAAAATAGTACATTAAAAGGTAACCCACTCAGTGTCATAAGGTTAACAGTTGTATAAAATTAGGCTCTTCAAATAATAATGACCAAATTTACCCTTGTCAAAATTTTATCAACTGCAACTGGAGGAAAGAAGAGATGTCCTCATGGCTTGCAATAATTAAAATAATTTAAATAATTAAATTCAATGATTTAATGAGCAACTACTTGTTACTAAGATTCCAAATTTCACTGTAATTCCCCTATCTAAAAGACTTCTGTCTTTGGGGCTCAAAATTAACCCATTGCCCACAGGGAAAATGAACAAAAAATGGGGGAAATGCAGTACTCATTTTTAATATTTTTGTGAAATATCTCTGTCCATAGATGGCTCTGCTAGTCCTGATTTCACCTTCCCTTGAATTGGCGGGAAAAAACGTATTTTTACTAGTGCTATAAATATAGATGGTGTTATTTTTAACAGCAAATTAGGATAACGTTAAATATTATCGTAAATCGATGAAAAGGGTGAATGGGCAAGACAGGCAGTACTCGTAATTGGCTCATTGGATACTTAGTACAAGTGTAGCCATCTATGTGTAAAAACAATCGAACAAGTCGACTCACAGTGGGCATGACATGCCATCCCTTGCGGCAATGGGTTAATTGAGAGGAATATGCCAGTCATTGGCAAGGAGTCATGGTGTCACACATGAGCATTAGTGTGGGCCAAGCTGACATGCCACACCCTAAGGAGAGTCAACACTCAAGTAAGCCTATTGCCTGGATCTCAAGCCACATGCGGGTTGTGATGTACCCAGATTCACCGTAAACATAATTTACTAGTTGACAATATATTCTTGGAAAAACAAGAAAGGCATACCAAGAACACTGAGTAAGAGAACACAACCAGACTAATATGACAATAACTGACCAAGGAACTGTTCCATATCCCTGGAATAAGTAAACTCATAATTATCATTAGAAAGTGAAGGTGCAGTAATAGTGTATTTATTCCTGTTGGATATGTCTTTCTTTCTGAATCTATCTTTACCAAATTGTATAAAAGATCATTCTCTCTCCTTCCTCTATTCTCCCCTCTTCCCCTCTATCTCCCACTCTTATTCTTATCTGCTTCACTCCCTATCTCCTTATCTCCCTCCCACCCTATCTCTGACCGTGTCTGTTCTGTTTCTCTTTTATATACAAATTACTCAGTAACCTTACCTGTTTCTTTGGGTTTAAAGCTGGTTAATGATCCTATTTCAACATGAATTAAAAGTTTTGAGCTACATTAATCTTACCTGCAGCATGTACCACTAAGCCTAAGGTGGCTGTCAGCGAACTTCTCCTTCCCTTGGTAACTCCATTCTCTGCATCACCTGTGTATACCATGTTATATTAGTACAGAAGAAAATGAAATGAACTGCTATACTGTTCGGCATATACAATTTAAAAAAAACAATTAAGTCATGTAAGGAAATTCCTCTTGTTAAATATCTCATTATAAAACTATAATGAACCGCTGAAGAGAATTTTACTCATATATCTTTGGGTTATTTCCACTGTTCTCATTGCCAGAAAATATGAATGTAACTAAAAGTATGTTTTCACATACTCTTGAACTGAATACACAGTATCTAATCCTTAGAAATCCTCCTTTCAGCCGTAGAACATGCAGCAACTCCTATATGCAGCCAGTAATAAAATCACCTGCTTTGCGATGGCCACCTGAGCACTGGTCTATGAGCAACATCAACAGGAACCCAAGGACAAGAGGGGGTCCGATGAGGTTGTGTGGTTCTGTGTGCGCCTCCTCCTCACCAGTGTGGCTGTGGCCTTCAGTGTGACTGCCTGGAATAATAGATTTGGATCAGGTCACCAGAAATCTATGCATAGACATGTACAAATTCCTCTTACTGTTGTTGAGATATGTATTTAAACAAAGATATCCATAGTGGTACTAATGCCATCTGGTGGTTACAGTAATTGGTACTTTTACAATTTCATATAGACTGAATACATGTACACACACACATAAAATTTCTATTCATACTTCATATGAGAGGCTTCATAACAAAACATCAACAGTATGTGAATGAGTTGTACATCTATATAGCTTTTTATACCAAAATATTCATATGATTCATAAAATAATTTTCCTATTACTATAAGAATAAGAAATAGAAACTGAAATAAGCAGTAAATACCTTTTGTGCTAGTTTCCATGCTGAACAGTGTGTTGACTCCCTCAGGAATGATGACAGTGAGAGAAGTGCCGACAAGCAGGCCGGCACCCAACACCGTCACTACCTCCATACGGTCCTGTAAGAAATTGCAATTGTCTTCAAATTTAACTAGGTAAATATTCATTGTGAATTACAAGAGGATAGACTGATTAGTAGATATACTTATATTATACAGGTGTAATTGCATCCTCACAAAAGCACACACAAACACATACAAAGACATTTACTGAATATTAGAGCGTCTACCTGTAACAGATGGTGAGTTATATACTTTCCCCCCTTTCAGTGTCTCTCAGTCTCTTTTTCAATATAAAAAGTACCATTTATTCTCTATATCGCATGTATGCCACTTACATCTCCCTAGGTAGTGTAAATAGCTACATCTTTGATTTATGAACCAATACCTTCTATATTTTTAGTATCTTCCTTCTGTCAGATCATTCAGTCTGTTAGCACCTAAACCAGTCCATGTGTTTATAAACATAGCTAACGAAATACTGGATATAAAAGTGCATAGACCCACTGTGGACATAAATCATTTGGTTTTCAAAAAGGAGTACCCAAACCAGAAAAATCACCTGCTTCACAGACATCCCTAACCTTATTTTTTATCACAGACAAAATACAACTATCACAAGAAAAACAAATTGGACAGAAATTCATACAATTTACAGAGACCCAACTTCATGTGTACAACTGCACAGTTTATGAACATATTCATATAAGGTTATTAACATTTAAATTTATGCATATAAGTTTGCTGCAAAAATGCACTGAAGCTAATCTAAAACTTACTAATGATTACAAGGAACACCCCATTTGATCCTCTTTACTGAAAAATGACCTTTAAAAATATATATACATATATCATGTGGATATATATATATATATATATATATATATATATATATATATATATATATATATATATATATATATATATATATATATATATATATATATATATATATATATATATATATATATATATATATATATATATATATATATATATATATATATATATATATATATATATATATATATATATATATATATATATATATATATATATATATATATATATATATATATATATATATATATATATATATATATATATATATATATATATATATATATATATATATATATATATATATATATATATATATATATATATATATATATATATATATATATATATATATATATATATATATATATATATATATATATATATATATATATATATATATATATATATATATATATATATATATATATATATATATATATATATATATATATATATATATATATATATATATATATATATATATATATATATATATATATATATATATATATATATATATATATATATATATATATATATATATATATATATATATATATATATATATATATATATATATATATATATATATATATATATATATATATATATATATATATATATATATATATATATATATATATATATATATATATATATATATATATATATATATATATATATATATATATATATATATATATATATATATATATATATATATATATATATATATATATATATATATATATATATATATATATATATATATATATATATATATATATATATATATATATATATATATATATATATATATATATATATATATATATATATATATATATATATATATATATATATATATATATATATATATATATATATATATATATATATATATATATATATATATATATATATATATATATATATATATATATATATATATATATATATATATATATATATATATATATATATATATATATATATATATATATATATATATATAAAGAAAGAAAGAAAGAGTGATGTAAAAATGGATGAAAAGAGGATGGGAGTGGGAGTGTGGAATGGAAAGAGAAAGATAGGAAGAAAAAAAAGGAGAGACAGTAGGAGGGTGGAAGGAAGCAGGTAAGGGAAGGAAGAAGGGAGATAGAGAGTGGAAGATAGAGAGAGAGAGAGGTAAGGGAGAAGATAAGATGTTTGTTTGAAGAGAGACCCTAACTTTTGATAGCATATCATATAGCCAAAGTCTTTGCCTTTCAATCCTATAAAAGTATTAACATTTTTAACATTTGTGAGTATAAATAGAATTTAAACCACACTTCTTCCTATAAAGTTACAGTATGCTAAATTAGACTGCCATTCTAAAAAGTGAAATTTTATACTATACAGTACCTTTTCAATTATATTTCTTTCCATAACTCCCCTTCTTTATCTACTCTAGGTAAATATACATATATATAGTTTACCCCTTGATCGGTGTATCTCAGGGCCAACCTTATCAAGATGTTGTTTCTGTAACTCATGTAAAGCTTAATGCATTTGGTATTTTGTTCTAATGAGCCATAGTAAAGAAACTAAAACTGAGTCCATTTCATATCTTTTTAACCCACTCACGATGATCACCACACTGAACCATGAGCCACTGAGCACAGTCAGACACTTGAGAGAAAAATTAGAGGCATGGGAGAGACAAATTTAATCCACTTTTGATCTGTAGCATATATGATTTTTAACCAATGCTGCTGGGTGTTCTCCCGTTATGAAAGCCCTCTCTCCCAGGTAGTATTCACAGTGGCCCGGGCCTTTCTGCTGGGGGATCATATCATCTAAAGTTGTTTAGGTCACTCCCTTTTCCTATTCAATGTTGATTTCATGTGGATTATGAGACATGATTTAACACATACACATGCACACACTTACTCACTCACACATTTAGCCTGAATAACAAAGATCATCTATATCATGTGTATATAGCATGCTTTTTAACCACCTCTCGACGGGTCACGCCGATAGGCGTCAAAACAAACCCCTTAATCAGTGGCGTGTGGCTGTATACGGCGGCAGCACGCCAAAGCGCTACGAGCTGGTGATTCAGCTTGATGCACCGATCTCCCGCACTCATAGTCGGTGCATTACCATTGATCGCCAGAGTGTAGAATTGTTGTTTTTTTAGTTTTCTTCACCCGTCATTGAGGGGTTAAATAGTCTTTGTATTCTATGAATATATTAATTTGCTATTATTTGGTTCCAGCATGTTTCTCGTGGTACTTGAGCTAGTGATCTATGTTTGAAGGAGATATCCCATTTTGGTCTATACCAGTTCTGGCTACACTGTTTTAATCTTTTCTGGTATGAGGTATCTTTACTCATCTTATCTAGTATAGGATACCCAGAGTGTGCTGGATATCAAATGCTTTGATTGATCTCTTTGTTCTTTCCTGAAATTGGATGAACTATAGCACTATAGGGTCAACTGAATATTATCCATACTGATAATATGATGCATATAACAAAACAATGTACTGGCCTTCAATAAAAAAAAGATCAGGTGGTCCTACTTTAATATCACCCCTTAATATCTAGTAACTGCAAATAGTAAGAGTAAATTGTATTGCTTTAGAAAGAAACTGGACCTTCAGTGTCTCTTTTCCTTGCTACTAGGAAATCACTGTCGTTCTGACAATTCAAGAAAACATTCTTATCATATAGAAATGCAAGTTCCTTAGATTCTTGCAGTGACAACTTTCACTTCTCTCTGCTCTACCGGATATGATTTGTGGATACGTGGTGTCAATTTTGAATGCAGCCACAGAAAACATTACAAATACTATAACAATAATCTATCATGTTTGGCAGCATCTCTATAGTGAAACCATATTTACAGCTTTGCTATTCTGAAAAATGTTCCAGCATATTGGCTCATTAACCATAGAATCATAAAATTTGCTGTGTATATCTGTCACAGTCTAATACTCCAATAATTTCCTTTATATTTAACTTATATGCTTTACTTAGAAAAAGGAAACTAACATTACATATCAACCTCGAACTATAATAAATAAAAGTCGATACAAAAGAAAAATAAATCACTTCTAGCCACTTGGAGCACAAAACGACCTTGAGCCGCGATGTGTTACTGAGGCCCGTGATAAAAGTGTCAACACAAGCCCCTCATTTCCCACGAACGATACACTGTCACGTCATCACACTACACCCACCATACACCTCACCATACAAAAGCCGGCTAAATCCTCCAATAAAAGCCGGAATTGACCTACCTCGGACATGGTCATGACGAGAGGAATGGAACCCGCCGTGTAACACCCCACCAACATGGCCAGGGACAGGAGCGACAGCACCATCACAGGCTCCATTTTCGGCCGAAATTCTCCCTCCTTTTGGCGAATGAATGACAAATAACAAGGGCCAATTACGTGGCCATGTAAAATCCCAAATCCCCCCTGGCTTACGAAGGGAGAATAAGGAGAAACGACGATAAAATCCGAGGAAATTGCATTGGCAGCGTCGCTCTCTCTTGCCTCCAGCTGTTTCCGTGGCCCAAGTAAACATAGGAGGTGCAGGGGAAATTCGGCCGCGGTCTGGGGGAGATTCGAGTCAGGTCTGGGGGATTTCGGGGTCGCTTTGGAGGGGGGAATCTAGGGGAAGATGGTCTCCTGAGCGGCTACAGGGATGTATCTGCGGCTGTTTTATTTTATTTTTTTTTGTTATCATTTGTTTTTGAGGCATTATTTCGAGGATGATAAAAAAATGATAATTCGGTGTATTTAATATCGTCATAGCATATAGAATGAAGAGTTGAATTTCCTAACTCAAGTGTAGGAAAGAAACAAATCTCAACAATATGCATTTTTAGATTCCTTATATAACAAAGATATTATAACGACGTGGATCGTGTCCTTGAAAACAAGCTTAAAGAGCACCTGAAAACCTGTTCAAACACCTGTAATGCCAAGATCCGGGTGAAGAACAATTAGGGGAAATTCCCTAGAATTCCCCCCAAACTATATGAATTTACAAATACTTTTGGATTATCTCCTTTTTTTTAGCTACACGATAAAAAAATAACTACAAAAATATATATATACATGCGAAAAGAAAATGGAAAAATAGTCCAGGAAAATAAGCAAGAAGTAACTTTCCTCGTCGTGTGCCAAAAATCTTCCTTTTCCAAGCAGCCTGAGTCGGACGTGGCTGGGCGAGGACGCGATGCGGCGCTCCGTCTTATTATTGGCATTTGTGAGTAAAAATAGGCCTATTTTCGCATAAATTACTGCGGGTCGTTAATTAGATAAGCTGATAAATACCAATCTCGATGCTAATGGGGGAAAACCTATTATTACTCTCGGCTTTGGGAGGAAAATCACGTCTCGGCACTTAGTACAAAAACCCAACCATGGATTTGCATTATATTAATAAAAGCGAATTACTATTTCCACTAATTATATATCCATGTTTTCTGACACTGGACGTGTTTATTTTAGTAATGAGAAGCGTGTAATTTACCTGGAAAGGTTTTATTTAGGGTAAAAAGAGGGAAGATAGGGTTAAATAGAGAGACCGGGTGTGAGGAACCACCTGACGATGTTATAGGCCTATTTAGGAAAGGCTTTTATTTCCTTTTATTTCTCAAGTTTAAATGCATTTTAGCTTTGATTTTGTTTCTCTTTGATGTCTGTGTTGTATATTACTTTATAATTATGTAATATTTTTGTTTCACTATGATAATATCCTAATTCTATTAATCTTATGCATATTTATTCACATCTGTGTAACTCTGAGAAGAAATATAATTATTAAACTCTGTGATGATTAGATGAAAACACACACACTTGAGGATTTAATGCAATTTCAACTCTTGTGAGCTGGAAAGGGAGAGTAACTGATTAGAGACAACTTTAACATTCATGTAAAAGGAGCTTCTCAGTTCACATGTACTGGTACTTTTATCTGGCTTCTGGTACATACATGAAATTAGGATAAAACTTTGATTCATTGTTTTTGTATAGTTATTTAGGAAGTCATTTACTGTTGGTTTGATTTCAACTCCTTCATCTTTCACTGATTTTAGAAAATGGGTAAATATTTAGAAGTTTGAATATTTCTAGGTCTCTAAGATTGATCTAAGATTGGATGTTCTTTTCATCAGTTAGAAATGGTTAGTTAAATGTAGATTTAGCCATGAGAGCCTGGGATTAACAGTTAGTGTTTGAGATTTCATTGTAGTTTACTGAATAAAGTAATTTCTTAGTTAAAGGGTCAGATATTTTTTTTATAATCCCCAGAATATACTTATGAATATAGTCATTCTTATTCAAATATTACCCAAACATGTTTCCCTGGAGAGGCTTTTATTGATATGCAATGGATCTTTTTTCCCTTGATTTGAGGTAGCTTGTTCTTTTTAGTACAGTGGAAATGATTGATTGTAGATTATAGACATGAAAGGTGAGGATTAACTTGCTTGGTATTATCTAAGGTGTATCTGTAAGTCATTTTTTGACCTTTCAGAATTGTTTGTTGAATAAAAAAGTTCCATAACTAAAGGATTGCTAAATAAAAGATCACAACATACTTTGATATTCAGATATTTTGATTTCTGTAATCTATAATTTGTACATATGAACATAACCACTTTTGCTCAAATATGACCCTGTATAAATTTCCTTTAAATATGTGATGAAAAGGAAAAAAAATAATCTTGTATAGTTCTTAACATTTTCTAAGACCAACAGCTTCAAGAATTGGGATTGGAGAAAGAAAGTGGCAATGCTCATATAATGTTTAAAGTCATGGTGATTTTATATTGATATTATGGTTTATAAATGGTAGAGCAAACCCCATATTTCAAATTGATATTAAGTCACTTGTGATCTAATGACACTGCTGGTAATAGGAATCAGGTGTTTGCTTAGTCTAGAAATTAATGATATATTTTTTTTACAATGTAAAGGATTCTGCAGTATAGTATAGTAGAGTGTAGATTTTTTTTTTTTTTTTAATTTTATTTGTATAAGTTTGAGATAAGAAGGCAAGAAGTACCAAGTATTCACAGGAAAAGTAAGAGAGAAGTAAAATGAATGCAGGGACTCCAGTTATTATTATTATTTTTTAAATACAGTGCCTCCATTGATTTTAAAATACCTATAATAGTTTTGAATTATAGCTTAAATGTATGAATAAATTTAAGTATATCAGTATTTTATTGTAGAATGTTCATATAAAGTATCCTCAAAAACCATTTGGAAGTGGATTTTTTATAGTTAATAACGGAATTGTGTGACATTCGCATATAGAAGCAAGTGAAAAATGAGATAATAAAAAATGAAGTTGGGTGTTACATATATGAATGTACAAAAATATTACATAGTTCCATGCGCTAAGATGGTATTGAAGTTAATTATATAACATGTCACAGGTAAAAAATGAATTATAATAAATACATTATATATATATATATATATATATATATATATATATATATATATATATATATATATATATATATATATATTTGTGTGTGTGTGTGTATATGTGTGTGTGTGTGTATATGTGTGTGTGTGTGTATATGTGTGTGTGTGTATATATGTGTGTGTGTGTGTATATGTGTGTGTGTGTGTATATGTGTGTGTGTGTATATGTGTGTGTGTATATGTGTATATATGTGCATGTATGTATGTGTATAAATGTGTATGTATGTATGTGCATACATACATATATACATATATATATTTATGTATGTATATGTGTGTATGTATATAAATGTGTATGTGTAAATGTGTGTAAGTTGTATAAATGTATGTATATATACATATGTGTTTATACATATGCATATATATACATATTTATACATACGCATATACATACATACATACATACATACATACATACATACATATGTATATACATATACACATATATATGCATCTGTATATGTATGTTTATCTCTCTATATATATATGTATATATATATATATATATATATATATATATATATATATATATATATATATATATATATATATATGTATATGTATTGCAAGTAAAAGAACAAAGGGAAGAACAAGGAAACGCATGAATATGCTGAAGGTCTTTACGCATTTATTGCTTCATCAGATGTCCTAATGAAGCAATAAATGCGGAAAGGCCTTCGACATATTCGTGTGTTTTCCTGTACTTCCCTTCATTGTTTACTTGCAATTTGTTTGATATGAATTCCACACATGTGTATGTGTGTGTATGTATGTATGTATGTGTGTGTATGTGTGTGTGTATGTGTGTGTGTATGTGTGTGTGTATGTGTGTGTGTGTGTGTGTGTGTGTGTATGTATGTGTGTGTGTATGTGTGCGTATGTGTGTGTGTGTGCGTATGTGTGTGTGTGCGTATGTGTGTGTGTGCGTATGTGTGTGTGTATGTATGTGTGTATGTATATGTGTGTGTATGTATATGTGTGTGTGTATGTATATGTGTGTGTGTATGTATATGTGTGTGTGTATGTATGTATGTATGTGTGTGTGTATGTGTGTATGTGTGTATGTATGAATGTATGTGTGTATGTGTGTGTGTATATATATATTTCACGTATATATTATATATACACACATATATATATATGTATGTATATGTATAGCTATGTATATGGATTTATATGTTCTATTATATGTATTATTTATATATGTATTTATGTTATGTTGTATATATTTATATGTATTTATGTTATGTCATATATATTTATTTATATTTAATATATTTATTTATATTTGATATATTTGTATATATATTTATATATATTTAACATATTTATATATATATTTAATATATTTATATATATATTTAATATATTTATATATATTTATTTATATTTAATATATTTGTATATGTATTTATTTATATTTAATATATTTATATATATATTTATTTATATTTAATATATTTATTTATATATTTATTATATTTAATATATTTATTTATATATTTATTTATATTTAATGTATTTATTTATATATTTATTTATATTTAATATATTTGTTTATATATTTATTTATATTTGATATATTTATTTATATATTTATTTATATTTAATATATTTATATAATATATAAATATATTAAATATAAATAAATATATAAATAAATATATCAAATATAAATAAATATATAAACAAATATATTAAATATAAATAAATATATAAATAAATACATTAAATATAAATATATATTATAATACATTAAATATAAATATATATTATAATACATTAAATATAAATATATATTATATATTTATTTATATTTAATATATTTATATATATTTATTTATATTTAATGTATTTATATATATATTTATTTATATTTAATGTATTTTTATATATAATTATTTATTTATAGTTAATATATTTTTATATATATTTATTTATTTATAGTTAATATATTTTTGTATATATTTATTTATATTTAATATTTATATAAATATATATTTGTATATTTTTATTTATATATATATATATATATATATATATATATATATATATATATATAT